TTAAGTAGACTGATTGCCTTATAAGCTCCTAAACACTCGTGTTTTAGGTAGAAGTTAACCAAATTTACAGTAAAATGAGACTTATGTCTCAGGAAATATGAATAGGTCTAGATCCTATAAACTATACATAATTGATATTGGAATAGGATCTACTAGAATGGCCGACACGACAGTTAGATATGGTTTTTTGTTGTTGTTCAATTATGAATATTTACGCTGTGGTGATGGCAAATGAATTAGTCTTGGCCCTAAATGTCAAAAAAGTCAAAAAAGAGGCCATGAAAACGATAGATTTGTCGATCTGGATCTGGATATAATAGTCTGATATCGATGACGATTCTTTTGTTACAATTATTCTTGTGGTCACAAACTTAAATTTGATTGCCTTTCTCCTTTTAGTTGCAGCATCATCGAACACGATGACCAATGAATCAGAAGATGACGTAGATGTTACTAGAAAGCTCATTTCACAATGGACAACAGAAGTGCTACGTGACTTTCTACAAGGAGGAGACTCAAGCTTGTAAACCGAGGAGTCATTATTTTATGGGTGTTCTCTGCCGGCTGCCTTGACGCTGGGGGTAGCTTTTGAGCCATCCGAGTTTAAGACTGAGAGGAACTGGACAATGGATGGATAGGGGAGGACGGGGGGGGGGGGGTAGGAATGCAGAACTGGCCTACTATGTATTATGTACCTACTGGATAAGGACCCTCCATCACTAGAGGGAAAAATAATGAGAGACTTCAAAGAGGGGAAGGCATATAGTTATTTTGCCTTGTGAAAAAAAATAGATTTAGCCCCTAAAAAAGCGTTCCTTCGGGTATCAAATGATGACAGGTGAAACCTCACAATTGTAGAATTATTATCTGTAATGTGATTTCCAAACCATGTGACAGCCAATGGTGTATGTTGTAAAGGTATTGTAAAAGGCATTGTTTAACACCAGGCCCCCCCCCCCCCTCCACTCCGAGAACAGACGGACCCCATGCGTGTTACCAAAATGTCCGGTAAAGGGGTACTTTTCGTGTGACAAAGTCCGGCCCGAGAATTGTACAAAAAGGGGTGTATTAAGTTTTCACCCGGAGATTTCTTTAAAAAGGGGGTATTTTTTCTTTTTTTCTCTTATCTCTTTGGACTCCTGAGAAATTATTCTGAATTTAGGGGGTACATTGAGCATTTTTCATGATTTAGGGGAGTCTCCAAGGCAGGAAAAGCCCGCGAAAGGGGAGTCCTCAGATAGGGGGTGCTTTCAAAAAGAGGGAACAAGCATATGCGTACCCTAAATAACACTGAGTGGGGGGGGGGGGGGCGGGGTTTAACCATGTTTAATTCGAGATTGACGTATGGCCCTACGCGCTACCAGTGTCTGCGATATGGTGTATTAATACTGAAGCCCTAACAAAATCGCGCTTCAAAATGATCAAGAAGTGCCTCAAAAAAATAAAAATCTTTGATTGACCCCTTTTACCATACTCGTTTTCCTCAATAGACTTGTAGTGTTATGAAAAGCGTTTGACAAACACAAAATTTGGTTTCGATTTCCAATCGTAAATATCTTGATAATCGGACAGGCGATCGGATTGTAAAAGTCATTGAGTTCTTGACTGACCTAAAATTATCATTGCAGCATGAGCTAAATCCAGGATTTTGTTTCAGAATCTGAGATAATGTTACCGGATCCCTTTAAATGCGTTTGCATTAAAGGTGGTACCCCCCCCCCCCAACTCAGTGTTATTTAGGGTACCCACATGCGTGTTCCCAGCACCCCCCTTTTTTTTAGCATAAGTCCCCTGTGTTAAGTCAATACGGGTAGATTTTGTTTCTTTGTTATACAAGCCTTTTCAGCACCCCCCCCCCCCCCCTTCTCAGCAAAAGTCCAGTGTGTAAAGTCAATACGGGCAGATCTTTTTCATTGCAAAACTCCAGAGAATCCAAAACTCTGCTGCCAGGCTCTGTTCACTTTGATGTACATGTACGGTATATGTATTGTAATTTGTAGGTTTATTCACACTTTTTTGTTTTGTTTAATAAGTAATTGTTTATCAGTCTATTTTTGTTTGTTATAGCGCTTAGAGATTTTGGTGGTAAGCGCTTTAAAAGTAGCGTTTTTTTTATTTTAATTTTTTAAATTTTGTTACGAGCCAGAGATTTTGGGAACACGCATGCGGTACCTCCGTTCCCTGTTGATATTGATCTCATGGTTATATTTATTTTATAAATAAAATCAAACAACACAGTGAGGGTTGTAGATGACTACTAAGCAATCATTACTGTATGTAGGACGCTGAGTTGAAGTTATTCATGATTTATTCAAGAGAGGAAGGTCAGACAGACCTGACGTTTAAAATATTTAACAAGAGAAAATTCATAGAAACAGAGAGAGGCATTGAGAGAGATGTCGACGCTTAATGAAAAAGAGTGATAATAAGGAGAGAGAGAGAGGGGGAGAGAAAGAGAGAGAGATGGAGAGGGGTGGGAGAGATAGACAGGGAGAGCAAGAGTTAGGTGTGAAAAGGAAGATCAAGAGAATGAGAGATTAAATTTTACAAATTTACATGTTTCCATGTACCTTTTCTTAATTTATATTATAATGTGAACGATATAGTGATGGTCTTTGCTTAATTTTAGTTTGCTTTCTTTCCTCTAGCCTTGTATTCTAATTTATTATTTTAATTTAGTAAATGTTGTATAAATATAATTTTGATTTCTATCTCTTCCCCTATGTCATAGCCTTGTTCTTGCTCTCCCTTCCTTATGTTAGTCTATCTCTCTTTCTCTCTCTCTGTAATGATAACCCCTCTATCAATCTTTTCTTCATCAACTCTTGATATATTCCTCCTCTTCTCCTTCTCGTTCATCATCACGATCATCATCATCTCAAAACTGTATTAATCAATCTACATGTATAAGACTCCTGAGATTGATCAATACAGTTCTTATAATATAAGACCATTATGTACAAACAATAAACCATATGGTCACAATCATTTAATAAACAGTGGTAAGAACAATTATTCCAACTTGATGGGCAACAACGTAATCTCCATTTTCTCCTCCTCGTTCAAATATTGGCTTCTTTTTCATTCTTTACTCGTGTTACTTCTCTATCTCTCTGACTACAGTGTATACTCACAAGAAAGTAGAATCAATGGGCGGGTTTGACATGAACCAGTCTAGAAAATGAACTAAATTTATTCAAGTATCAAATACATCTTGAATTTCAGACAGCTTTCTCCCAGGAGATGAAACAAATGTCTCCCTAACCAGAAACTGGCAAAATAACTAAATGCCTTCCCCTATTTGTAGTCTCTCATTATTCTTCCCTCTAGTGATGGAGGGTCCTTATCCAGTAGCACACAAATGTCTTTATACATAGTAGACGGCCATCTCTGCATGCCTTTCTTCCCCCCCCCCCCCCCCCCATCCATCCATCGTCCAGTCCCTCTCTACCTCTCTACCTCGGATGGCTGAACAGTACCCCCAGCGTCAGGGCAGAGAACACTCATAAAATAATGACTCCTCAATTTCCAAGCTTGAGTCCCCTCCTTGTAGAAAGTCACGTATCACTTCTGTTGTCCATTGTGAAATGAGCTCTCTCGTAGCATCTACGTCATCTTCTGATTCATCGGCCATAGTGTTTGATGATGCTGCAACTGATAAATAAAAGGAAAAAGACAATCAAATTTAAGTTTGTAACCTCAAGAATAACGGTAACAAAAGAACCCTTATCGCACTAGATCATGGGGAAACATTTTTGTGCTAAAGGGTGACCCCAACAAGGTGACCTTGCCATCAGCTGAACGAAATATCGGTCTGCCAAATGTTCATATTTTCGGGAAAAAATAGGTGCTCTAACCGACCCCCCCCCCCCCCTCTCATTCACCGGCTGGCTGAGTCGATGTGAAATTTTCGGCACGATTTTCAAATTTTAACCCCCCCCCCCCTCGAAAAAATCCTTCATACGCCCCCGTCATGTAGATCCTCAAGTAGAGCTCATCAATACATAGACTATTATATTCAGATCAAGATCGACAAATCTATCGTTTTCATGGCCTCTTTTACTTGTTTACATTTACTAGATATTGCCATCACTATCTAACTGTCAGCCATTCTAGTAGATCCTATTCCAATATCAATTATGTATAGTCTATAGGATCTAGACCTATTCATATTTCCTGAGACATAAGTCTCATTTTACTGTAAATTTGGTTAACTTCGTTAACCTAAAACACAAGGCAATCAGTCTACTTAAAATGCACACACATTTAAACATACGGGACTAGATCTAGGCCTACATTTACTAAAGTTGGACCCCGGCCCACTCTCATTACGTCGTATTATCAGCTTTATTCGTCATAAAAATGAATAAACACAAACTTTGGTTTCTTACCGTACAAATGATACTGGAGTGCAAGAAAATCACTGCAGAATAGCGGATTATGTACAAGATTAAGATGTTGCTTCGATAAGAATCCCGTTGTTTGCAACGGGACAGCTGATCACGGCGAAAGTAAAAATGTCCCGGCATGCTTTGCGATGAAACAACCGTGAATGTATGTATTCTCGACGGCTTTTTTTTTTTTTTATTCTCGACTGCTTTTTTTTTTTTCTCGACTGCTTTTTTTTTTTTCTCGACTGCTTTTTTTTTTTCTCGACTGCTTTTTTTTTTTTTCTCGACTGCTTTTTTTTTTTCTCGACTGCTTTTTTTTTTTTTTCTCGACTGCTTTTTTTTTTTTCTCGACTGCTTTTTTTTTCTTTCTCGACTGCTTTTTTTTTTTTCTCGACTGCTTTTTTTTTTTCTTGTCTGCTTTTTTGGAAACTCGATTGCTTTTTTGTAAACTCGACTGCTTTTTTGTCAACTCGTTTGCTTTTTTGTAAACTCGATTGCTTTTTTTGTTAACTCGATTGCTTTTTTGTAAACTCGATTGCTTTTTTGTAAAGTCGACTGCTTTTTTGTAAACTCGACCAATTATGACGGCTGTGGCGTGCCATACAAAACAAACCGACTTTGCCAGCTTCAGTAGCAGCTAGAGTCCATGAAAAGGCAACCTTACCCTGAAAAGGCTACCGCGTCCGTGAGATCAATAGGTGGAAAAAGTGGTTCAAATTGGTGTACTTATGAACGGTTTTATTTGTTTTCAAATCTAGCTGTGGAGAAGGAAGCCTTTATTGTAAAATCTATTATCTTGCTGTCATCTTTCTAGCAGAGAGGATTAGAGTGGCTGTCCGTGGCACTGCTGTATATACCATTACGAGTGTACCCTTTGACAAGTGCCTCTTTTTAGGTTGGTCAGCTGGGTGATGCTCGAAAGCCTAAACCAGGGCCCAAAACACCACAGCTGTCAGTGTCAAGTTGTGTTGCGTACACGTACCCCTGGATTTCCAGTGAGTCAATATTTATTTGTCTGTGGTCGTGAGATCACTCTATAGTGCGTTGTGTTGGTTGTGATCTTTTTCAGAACGCGAACATTGTCCAATCGTTGCCAGTTCGTATAGGTCCATGGTCGTGGACACTCGACGTCGTTACACCAACATCATTTAGACCCACACCATTCTAACGTTCGGATCAGTCGTCGATCGGTATATTCGCCTTTCCTCGATCGTCGAACTCGAAATTAGTCCTGGACATTGACGTCGTTTCATCGCACAGCTTCATCGACCCCATTCTCCACTCGCCTCTGTCGTCTCTGAGTGAATTTGCCTTTATTTTCGAGCGTCGTAGTCGTTGACCACGGGCACCATGTCGTCGGCGAGATCGGATATGACCTTCTCGGCTGCCGACTATGTCATCTTCTCTGGCATGCTCCTCATCTCCGCCGGCATCGGGGTCTACCACGCTTGCACCGGGGGTCGACAGCGGACGACCAGGGAGTTCCTGATGGCCGACCGCGACATGAACCCCATCCCCGTCGCCTTCTCGCTCGTCGCCAGTTTCATCTCCGCAATCACCTTTCTGGGGACTCCGGCGGAGAACTACGTTTATGGCTGCATGTACTGGATGTTCGCCTTCGCCTACATCGGGGTCGGGCTCGCCACGGCTTTCCTTTATATGCCCATGTTCTATAGGCTCAATCTTACCAGTGCAAATGAGGTACACGAAAGTTCATTATTATAAAATTATAAATTGTTATTTATTTTTGTTTATTTATCATTAATTTCATTTTTTTTTTAGTTAATGCCATGCTCATCCATGGTGGGAGGGTGAAAAAACGAATGTAGACAGTGATGACGTTTATTTCGCCGGTAAATAACCTTGGCATTTGCCGGTATAACCTTGGCATTTGCCGGTATAACCTTTACATTTGCCGGTAAATAACCTTACCTTTGCCAAGTTGACGTTTTGCCAACATTATAATGTCCATTCTAAGTTATTTCAATTCCCTTTGCTGCTGCCTCTTAGTCTTACCCCCCCCCCCCCCCCCCCCCCCCCATTCCTCTTCAAGTTCATGGTTAACACCTCGCCGATTGTCCTTTCGCCCTATGACTCTCGACGATCCTTACAAATCGATGCCACCGCCTTTTTCCTCCCCTCCTTTACAAATGCAAGGATATTGATTAATAATGCCCTTACCCCCGACCCCCTGTTATTATGAATGTAGATTCAGATGGATGTACATTTCTATTGATGAGTCGTCCATTCATTACCCCCCCCCCCCTCCCCTCCCCTCTCCCTCTCCGCATGCAATCTCTAAGCCCAAAAGGTCTCATAATTATTGCCTTATCCTGTAATTCATGTCAGTAATCAGTGGGCTATTGTTTCAATAATGTATTTTATAGCTTCTATTCGCTTCACTTGACTTCCAGGATGTACATGTACTGTGCAATGTACCATTTTCAAGTACAAATTCAATCATGTCTACCCGCATGTCTCCCACATTTTCTGGTCGGTTTTTATTTTTATTTTTTCTCCGTCAGCATTTTTGTTCCTCATTCACTCCTTGATGTCCCCACCATTACCCTTGACCTGGTTCACCCATAGCACGTGCTTCTATTAGCTTCATGGCTTTGCCAACATAGTGCTTGGTAAATCTTTACTACGAAGTCTCAAGGAGCTACTTAAAGGCATCGTTTAACCGATGTTAAATCTTAGATGCATGGCCCTACGTGTTATCAGTGTCTGTGATATGGTGTTGAAGCCCTAAACAAATTGCGCTTCAAAATGATCAAGAGGTGCCTTAAAAAAGTAAACATCTTAGAGTGACCGGTTTTACCATATTGATTTTCCCCAATAGACTGTAGTGTTATAAAAACCGTTATGAAAACGGTTTTTGAAATTTTGATTTCCAATCGTAACTATCTTATATTTCTGCCCCCCCCCCCCATCTTTATGATTGTCTTGCTCTGTCTGGACGAAAGACCGGCTGATTGTCATAGAAACGGATTTAAGTCTTTTGTCAATTATGTGTTGCTACGGCAGGTAATCATTAAAATTATGGAAATGCAAGCATTACTTTAAACAAACAAAACTTTGTTAATCCTAGTTCATTTTTTTCTGATCGAAGTGTCATATGGCAGGGCAGAAAATGAGCTTTCTAGAAATGTGATTTTCCCTTTATAATTCAGATACCGTCCGCCAAATGACTTTTTGGAACCTTTTCTTCAAATTGATTTAAATCACTGATGCGTAAAATATGCATCATGTGAGTTGGATCAAGTGAAAGAGGAGGATCTACGCTTCACAAATATGTGTCATTTTGAAATTATAATTGAGATTAAGTTATGATAATACATCGATAATTCTCGGTTTCATTTTTTCTGGGACGCACTGTATAGTTGTACGAATATTGACCTGTTTAGCCCGCCATAGGCGGTGTGATTGAGGTATCATTTTATTGAAAGATTGGATGGTATAAATTGATGTCAATATTTTTTCGGAAGATGATGCTTGGATGCACTTGTAAAGCAGTGACTTTTTATTCACTTTTGACAAACACCAAATTAACCTCGCCGTCAGTTTAATCACCTCCATTTTCGACTTCGAAACTATCTGAGCTTTTTTTAAATTTGTGTAGGAGGTACCTAGAGTTCGACAGACGGCCCCGACCCCCCCCCCCCACACAAAAAGGGGGGGGGGAGAGAAGGGGTGAGCTAGAATATAGAGACGGCCACACTGAATACTCAACTAAATTTCATATAGATCTGGGCCCTGTTTCACAAAACTTGATTTCAATAACAAGTTACAAGCTACTGTTATAACTTCTGAAATCAAGGCATCTGATTGGCTGAGAGCGAATTTATCGTAGAAATTAAGCATTTGTTATAGATAAAAAGTGATATGAAACGGGCCCCTGGGCCGATAAATACTTGCTTCCTATGTAAGCTGATGTAGAGAAAGCAGGGAAACTAATTGATAAGAATTATATCACATGTATAATGATGATGACATTCCCTCACCGTTCAGCAATATTCAAGCCTATATTGCCCATTTTGGAGTTATGAATTCACTATGGTTGACCCTCAAAGGTACAAAACTATGTCCCATTTGCGGGCCCTCAAAAAATGAAAAGATTAAATTCTAACGGAATCTGAAAGATAATACGAATTTAGAACTTCCCTGAAATGAAAGGGCTTGAAAATGTCTTTAAGCGGGAAAATAACGACCATTAGTTGTCGAATCTACTTTAGTGATTGCAATCCTTTTAAGTAATAGTCTGATTTTCAGTCTAGAAAGTAAACGGGTTTCCTTACATAATCTGAATATTAGGAAACTGCTAACGTTTATATTTTACAGATAGGACATACGTGACGTGTTCATAACTCCTGCAAAGTTCTACAAAATTTGATGTGGGATTTGAAATGGGACTTAGTACCTTTAATTTCCTTTAAAATACTTTTGTAGTCTTCGGTTTAGATACAAAAGAAAAGGAAACTGGCTAGGAAAAAGAAAAGAGATACCACACAAAACCACGAGCCGCCTCCGCACATGGTGTTCAGAAATTAACTTCCGCTATCATAATGTTAATGAATTTTTCTTTACTTATTTGTGGTAATGTCTTTCTTCAGCGTTGTGTGGTTTTTCAATGTTCACAATCATTTTGTCCATGAATTCATGAGAAAGCTGACTATGGCTGCCATATGTTCTTCCCGTTCTCTATCCCTTGTTAAACACTCATGTGTCATTCATTTGTTCAGTATCCGATGCCTATTACCTTGTGCACGCAACTAGGCGAATGTTTTTTAAAGGCATTGTTTAGATAAAGGTGAGTTCTGATAAAAAAGAAAGAAAAAGAATTCTCACAGAATCAAACGAAACTTACACTGAATGTTCAAGATTACAAATAAATGTCATTTGCCAAACAATTTTGGTAAAAAAATGTATACTGGCTGAGTAATGAGCATAGAACGATTAGGAAATCAAGGTTAGAAGCCCCAACACCATTTGTGTAGTCCCATATACATCTTTCCGTGTACAGTGCTTGTTACTTTACCAAGACTGGGCCAGATTTATTATGATCTTGATGACTCCAGAACCTTGTAGTACACACCAATACTTACATGCTGCATGATCAACTTTTTTCTGATCCATTCCACACCTTTTCTTTCACAATGCAATCTGCAGAACTCACCTTTATTTTTAACAATGTTTTCAGTTTTACAAATCTGAGAAGCATGGCCCTACGTGTTATCAGTGTTTGTGATATAGTGTAATATTGAATCCCTAACAAATTTGTGCTTCAAAATGATCACGAAGTGCCTGAAAAAAAGGTAAGCATCTTTGAGTGACCGATTTTTAGCATACTCATTTCCCCAATAGCCTGTAGTGTTATAAAAAACGTTGGGAAAACGGTTTTTGACATTTCGAATTCCAATCATATATATCTTGATAATCAGACAGGCGATCGGCTTGTAAAAGTCATGGGGTTCCTGACTGACCTAAAGGTTTATAAGTATCATTGCATCATGAGCTAAATCCAGGAATTTTGTTTAGAATCTGAGGCAAAGGTACCCAATCCCTTCAAAAGAAGATATCAACATTTTAAAAGGGAAACCAATTCGGACAAAATTTTGTCGAATTTTAGTGGTTGGTGTTGAGATTGATTTTTTCCCCGTCATTTAATTCGGTCTCGAAATAGATTCAGTTTCAATTATAGCGAGCGTACAAAATATTCATGTATAGGCCTTCAAATAATGCGTTATAATAAAAAATAAATAAAAAGAGGATTTAACCAGGTAGTCACATCAGTGCTGTTCATGCGGACCTGTTATTATTGATTACCCAAGCATGGTCGGGTACCCATTACAGGGCCATTGTGGGCAGTACACACTTTGTTCAAGGATAATCCCTTTAAGATTAGTACAGAAGATAGAACTCGAGGTCACTGTTAAAAACTGTGAACAAATATTCAAGGCTAGATATTGAAAAATACTTTTTGTGTAGCTGTGGAACGGTCTTCCAGAATCATGGCAGCTGGGTCGGTGAACTCGTTTAAGAATAGACTTGATAATCAGTTAGTCACAAACAACAACAACAACAACAACAACAACATATGGTCAAATAATCCACGCCTTCTGTATGAGCCGGTCTAGGTGTTGTCTGTTGTCTCATGTTAGCAAACAATCTCCTCCAATCACAAATAGCAGTAACCATGGAAAAATAATGGATCGATGAACAGGCCAAAACCTACGACATCGTGTATTAAAGCATGGACCTGCTAAGAAGGTCCATGATTAAAGTAAAGTAAGTAAGTATAGTAAGGATGATAGTCAGTAGCCTTTATTATAAGATAATGACGTAGATCCTAATCAAATGATTGGTTGAAAACGTACACGTGACCGGGCATTTATTTTGCCTAACGCGTAATAATGACCGGTCATGAGCGATCATGTTTTTGCGATCGCAATCATTGAGATTTATCGTTTTACTTTTACTCACGAAAATGGCTGCCGCGGAATTTAAAAGGCATAGTATCTACGCCTAGATCAGTCATCGATGTGGACCTAGAAGTAGTGATGTACGGACTTTGACTGAGATGAGGGTGATTTATCAAATAACAAGGATCCACGTCATAATTTTATAAAACAAATAATACACAGCATTTTGTTCAAGCATTAGTAAAATTACCCACACTCGGTACCTTTGAAACGGTCCAA